CTTATGTGGTGCTGAGGAATCGAACCCAGGGCCTCATGCATGCAAGGCAAGCGCTCTACCACTGAGCCACCTTCCCAGCCCCATGAGTCAATTTTTTTGAAGTTCATACTTTTTTTTTAATGGCTGAATAGTGTTCCACTGCATGAGGATATTCACTGCACACTTGTTGACTGAGCACAAGTACAGACAAAAACACTGCTTATACACATCACTACTAGGGAGGAAGACAAAACAGACAGGTCCACAACTGAAAACAGGGACAAGCCTTTTGTAAAGAATAAAGCATGCATGACTGGACATGCAGAGACAGGGCTGAGAAGCATGCATGACTGGGCATGCAGAGCCAGGGTCGAGAGACATGCATGGCGAGGCATGCAGGGCCAGGGCCGAGAGGCATGCATGACTGGGCATGCAGGGCCAGGGCCGAGAGGCATGCATGACTGGGCATGCAGGGCCAGGGCCGAGAGGCATGCATGACTGGGCATGCAGAGCCAGGGTTGAGAGACATGCATGGCTAGGCATGCAGGGCCAGGGCCGAGAGGCATGCATGACTGGGCATGCAGGGCCAGGGCCCAGAGGCATGCATGAGTGGGCATGCAGAGCCAGGGCTGAGAAGGTGGGCTACAGAGAAACAGAAAGGGCTTCTCTGGAGACAGAGAGAAACAGGCTGGGAAGGGAGGAGGAGGACTTTGTGCAGAGGGGCATGGCTCTGTGGCAGGGTCATGGGAGGCTCTGCATTTTGTTCTGAGACCACAGAGAACGGTACTGTCCATTCATCAGGGGTGATGTGGTCAAGTTGATGTTTTAAAGACACGTACAGAAAACAGACTAGGCAGTCACAGGTGTTTGGGCTGGGGTGGGGGCAGATGGCAGGGAGCTAATTCATTCACTGGATTTACAGAGACGTGGTTGTAATCAGATGGAGGTGTTGTACCTGGGGGCCATCCGGGAGACATTTGTTCATTCACTCAGTACATCTCTATTAAGTATCTTCTAGGGAAAAAAGAGTGGCTTGAGTGTTTTGGGGCCCTAGGAAAAAGCATCTTCCAACACATCTATGTTCCTTCATGCAAAGGGTTCAGTTTACTATCAACAGAATTTCCCAAGAGGTACTATGCCTTTGAAAGAAATGCAGAAAGTTCTGCTGTTAGCAAAGGTAGATGGACTATGCCATTTCTCACCAACCTACTCTGGAGGAAAATAGAAACGCTGGACTGGAAAAAAATCATTTAATGAAAGACTGGAGAGAACTCCAAAATCTCATGAATTTGAGGGCCAGAACCCAGGGTTGTCTAACAGTGTCCAGCACCCAGGCCCCTCTGGAAGGATCCAGAACTCAGGTCCTCTGGAAAGATCCAGCACCCAGGCCTCTGGAAGGATCCAGCACCCAGGCCCTCTGGAAGTATCCAAAACCCAGGCCCTTTGGAGGGACCCAGTACCCAGGTTCTCTGGAAAGATCCAGAACCCAGGCCCTCTGGAAGGATCTAGAACCCAGGCCCTCTAGAAGGATCCAGAACCCACGTCCCCTTTTTTCTCAAGGCATTTGCCCATTATAAGACTGGCTGTGTAGCCAAGCTCTGGTGGCTCATGCCTGTCATCCTAGCTACTCAGGAGGCTGAGATCTGAGGATTGTGGTTCAAAGCCAGCCAGGGCAGGAAAGTTCGTGAGACTCTTATCTTCAATCAACCACCAGAAAACTGGAAGTGGTGCTGTGGCTCAAGTGGTAGAGAGCTAGCCTTGAGCTGAAGAACTGAGGGACAGCGCCCAGGCCCCGAATTCAAGACCCATGATGGACAAAAAAAAAAAGAGACTGGCTGTGGCCAGACGGAATAACTGCAGAGGTCTTTTAACAAATTCTCGGAGCAGCAGTAAGAAACCCGGAGCCAGACCTTTCAACAAATTCTTGGAGCAGCAGTAAGAAACCTGGAGCCAGACCTTCAGAGGAACGGTTTTTGGGTTGGATTGAGGAGTGCCACAGCCCAAGGATGAGAGCAGCCTGGAGAGAAGTCCTCCAAACAGACGCATCTGAAGTGCAGGTGACTTGGGCGGAGGTGACCTGAAAGAATGAGCCTGGCCAGTCTGTGGAGAAGTAGCAGCAGCAACCACCTGGCCCCAAGTGATCGGTGGTTTCTCACACACAGTGCATGGTATTTAGTAACTGAATGCCCAAGAAAAACCTGATCGGAGATGAAGGAAAAAACAGACGTGAAACCGTTCCAGAAGTGAGCGGGACAATTGCATGCAAACTTAAAAATCAACAGCAGCTTACTAGGTTCAGGGAATTTAAAAGGAAAGACAGAAAATGTTGCCAGAAAACTAGAAAGTATTAAAAAATAGAATGAGAAAACTGCATTTGAAAAATAACTGAAATGAAGACCTTAAATAGACTTACAGTAGGTTAAATGCAACTACGAAGAGAGTTAATGACTTGGAAGACAGACCAAAAGAAAATATCCAGGTCAAAGCAACCCCCAAAAGTGTGAGAAACTGTTGAGATTGTAATTGGTCCTTCACATGTGAAATTGGCGTCCAGAAAAATCCCTGGGGAGAGCAGGGGCAGGAGCCATGTTTGGGAGGTAATGGCTGAAACATTTCAAAACCAAAACAGGGAATCTAGCTGCAGATTTAAGAAGCACGATCGGCAGGATAAGTAAAAATAAACCTAACCTATCACATGGCCATACATGGCTACAAGCCAAAGATAAAAATGTTTAACAGCAACGAGAGCTTTGTATTTATTATTTAGAGGCATAGAACCTTTACTGATACAATAATGAGCTTTCACGCTGCCTTTTGTAGAAATTCCAGAGGTAGGAAGCCGTGAAGGGATGAGAAGCAACGAGGAGAATGGAGCTGAGCCACGTCTCGGGGCGGAGGCAGTGATCTGTCGCCGCAGACCACGGCACAGGACGTGCCCCGCGGCTTCCCGGCGGGAGGGCGGCCGAGATGTGTGGGACACCGTCCTCCCAACCCAGACGCGTCACCCACCGCACATCCGGAGCAGATGAGGGATCAGACAACAGCAATGTTTCCTTCTGGGGTTTTACAGTCCTTACAAAACCCAACAAGCAAGCATATAAACCAAATCCTTACCAAATTTCATGTCTAATGTCAACCTTGTGCATGATTGGAGCTCCAGGATTCTTTCTCCCCTCCCTCCCTTCCTCCCTCCCTCCTTTCATCTTTCTTTTCTTGAATCCTGGGACTGGAATTCAGACCCTCCTGCTAGCTAGGCAGCAGCTCTACCACTTGAGTTATGCCATTTAGCCCTTTCAGTTTTAGTTATTTTCAGGCAGTTATTTTTTGTTTATTTCCCCCTCAGGACATGAAAGCATGCTGCGGTGCTGCCCTCAAACTTGCCAGATGCCGTGAAGAGGCTGCGCACAGTCCAGAGATGAGGTTATACCGCAGAGAGAATGCAGACCCACGGCGAGACCGAGCACCCCAAGGAAGGCAAGTCACAGCGGCCAGCCCAGGAAGCCAGCCCACGGTCCACACTAACCAGCACATACCAGACTTGTCCACACTAACCTCCCGTGTCCAGCCTTCTCCTAAGTGCTGTCACATTGGCCTGCCTCCCCTCACTCCCTTCCCTTCCCTCCCTCCCTCCCTCCTTCCTTCCTTCCTTCTTTTTTTTTTTTATTTTTTGGGTCCGGTCGT